TACATACTTTTGTATATTTCCATCTCTCTTCCTCATCATAATGTATAATAATGTTTTTTCCCAAGGTGTATATTGTATTTTTATTTTTATTCGAATCAACGCCTGTGCCTGAACATGTGATCTCAAACGACATGTCAAAAAAGAGTACTAATGACAGTTGATCGAATACCTAGTAATTTTTTAACAGTTGGCCAGGGACATTCATAAATGGCATGTAACACGATAACTGCCATGTCGAATAAATAATAGCGTTATAAAAATGTTCTATGATCTTATAAAAGCTTTAGGTGACATGAAAATTTAATCATCTACGTATAACGATATAAAATTATTTTTTGAAATTCAGATAAGGATTCTTGGATAATACACACTGTCATTAGGCTGAATTTAACAGTGGAGACACAAAGAAAAGTCAACATCGCCAGGCGTTTAATTACGCTAATATCCGGCTTTTTTCTAAATGAAAAAAGATAATTGGTCTAATAGACGGAGAATAAAACGGCACGAACCTACAAGACTTGAACTGTAGATTTTCTGTACACTGAAAATTGAACTACATAGTCATGTCCCACGAAATTTTATATATTGCTGAATGTATGTATTTTTAGGCATTCTTTTTCATTGTCGGAATTGTGATATGTTACCCGGAAAATTGCAAACATAGAAAAAAAACAGCAATTTTGCTGATGTTCTACAATTTATGACGATCTTGGTTAGGAAAAGAAAACTTGGTTAACACAGTAACCTACTATACATCACCATAAGTCGGAAAACAGCATTTTCACCGGTTTTTCCAACTTTGGAGGATATGTATGATATAAGTTTGATAACAAAAAAACTACATGGAATTGTAGTGCATTCTTTTAGGTTCCATTGACAGGAAGAACCGCACTTTCCCTGATTTTCTTCAATTTTGAACGTTCTAGGTCCAGAAAGAAACACTTGGCTAACACAATAACCCACCATGACCGTTTTAAGCTCTTTTAAGTTTTGTTGTTGTAGTCATGTTTTCTTGTCCGGAAATTCGCCAAAATGTGGGAATCGCATATTAACATGTTTTTCTCGATTTATAATATTCAGAGTAGGAAATTATAACTTGGCTGACTCAAAACCCGAAATGCATATGTGTTTTTATCCATTATTTCCAGTTCCATTGTCAAGTTTGTGATTCATGGTCCGAAAAATTGTGAAATAGGAAAAACCGCATTTTTTCTGATTTTTTCCAATTTTTGACATTTTAGGTCACTAAAGTAATACTAGCCGAACTTAAAAACCTACAATACACATAGGTGTTGATTGAATTTTTGAGTTAGCTAATGATATCCTAGTCTAAAAATGTATAAAATTGAAAAAATCGTTGAAAATCGGGTTTTCCGATTTCTGGAGATTTTCGGTACAAGTAATCAGTATTTTGACAACAGAATTGAAAAGTACGTAAAACAGTACATGTATACAACGACTTACAGCGTTAGCCAAGTATACCGTTTCCAAAAAAAAACTGTTATATGTCCTTCTCTTTGAATACAAAAATTTGATTACATGCTTTTACCTGCACAATAACCTTTTCGGATCGTTGTAAAATCTATGTGGTATCTCTTATAAATAATTAGATACTACCTATACCGAACAAAAAAGAAATATAATCTTTACTAAAATACTGAAAAATCTGTGAATTCAGTAAACTACCCAACCTAGTCTTTGCTGATGTACCTTTTTCGATTAGAACTACGAGAACTCATCTGAAAGAAATTCCATTGATAGTTTGCTAAGGTTGATGCCATACCAAAGATGGTAGAGTTAGAGGCAAAAGGGCTAATGTACACCAGCGAAGAAAGCATAGTTTACCTATGAAACCACCTTACCGCACGCTAGAAGCAATGCTAGGTACTTCCCCGTATTTCAGTAAATCAGCGTGTCTATTATTTTGAGTGGCAATTCCAGAAATATTTGAGGAAAACTTTGACCACAAGAAGAAAGTAATTTGTTAACGTAGAGAAAGGAGGTGCTTTCAAAAAGGTTACAATAATGGAGATGCTGAAAGAAAACTTAAGAAATGCGGCAGTACGAAGTCCCATCCACATAGAGCTAAACCTCCAAAAGAGGATACTCTGCTCTTCTTTCGTTTCTTTTCGTACATAGAGATCTAACCTAGACCGTGCTGATGATTGCCAATAAACATGAAACAACTGTAAATGGTTGTCCCTCTGTTGGTCGGACAGACAAAAGCAATATTATCAAAAAACTTAAGAATAATAACTCCAGCGAAAGGCGTTCTAAATAAAATATTATCCCGAATAACTTCGATTCGTATGGTATTTTATCTATCTAGAATACATGCCCATTTTGTCACTAAGCTTACCATCTCTAGAGGGACCACAGCCATAGGAACTCGATACATACACAACCTTAGTTGTTGAACAATATTTAATGCGCTTACCAATCGCTCCGATCCTCAGGAAAAAGCTGCCGTGACTATGATCATTCTGCGAAGTCTTCCTCTTGCACTTGGTCCGTACCACCTGCTGTAACTGCACGCCCTGTTCCACATCCACCGCTGCGGTTGCCGCCCCTCCTTGCGACGGGGCGGAGTTATTAGTGGGCGGGGCGCTTGGAGGCGGGGCTTGCGGTGGAGCTGGGGGCGGTGCCGTTCCACCCTGTTGAGGTTCCTGTGAGACAGAACCGCCTTGTTCAGTGTCAGTGGGCGCGGGCACACACAGTGGCGCGTCTACTACCCCCTCCGAGTTGCGTCGGTACGTGCTCTACACGCCACATGTCAGGGTAAGATCGGGTGAGAAAGGTGGATACAACAGACGGGCGGAGCATAGAGGTGTTCAGGAAGAAGCGTTGTAAGACGGTTCTAACCAGCAGTGGCAGGATTGGCGGTTTGTCAGAGTTTTACTTGGACGTAGTTGGCTGACTCGGATGTGAAGTGGTGTAGTTAGTATTAGATTGGATCATTTATTATTTGATTTTGGTGACGCCTCTGACAGTCCCTGTAGCTGCAGGCTCAAAGTACTTCGATTATGAAACTTAAAGCATCAAAGTGAATTGAAAACTTATTAGTTATTTTTTTCCATTATATGTGGTAATATGGTAGGCAAAAAATAGAGAATCGTTGATTGAACTGCTCCAAAGTGTACTATCGTATGTTTACCGATGCTCAGAGCTCAGGAAAAAATAAACATTCGTTAGGAGGTTTTTGTAAATTTTTCAATATTTCATTCTTTATACTATTGTCATATCCCACATTCGATTAGACATCTGTGACATATTTCAGTTTTCAAAGCCACCACTAAGAAAATTAAACACTCTATACATTATTTATTGTTTTTAACTGGTTCTTCGGTCCTGTTTTCATGAGAAATACCATAGATCATTGTATTGATCTCTTTTTGTTTTATTTATGTCTCTTGATAAATCTGTTATCACGTCTATTTTTTAACAAAAAAGGCGACAAAGACTACAACTCTCTACAGTTATCTTGTTTTAACAAAAAACTTATAATGAATGATCCAATCCAGGATTTGCATACATATTTAAAAATACTATTACAGAAATCTACAAAATTCTACAAATACTGTACATTAGCACTAAAAACATTGGACTCAAGCATTTTTTTATAGTCATTTTGAAACAGCAAAATTAGATAATTATTGTCAAAATCTAAATATAAATATACGTAGGAATAAGTCATGACGGCGATTCTTAGCTTATGATATCTGTGAAATATAAACCAGTCATCTTTTATGAAGCCATTTATGGAGTCAAAGCTTGAAACGTGAAACTGGTCTAAGATTAGGTAAATTACTTTTTCACAAGGGTATCTGTAAGATTTTGACTTAGTGTTTACTACACTTGAAATTCCTCATTATAAATTACGCAATTAATGTAGTAAGTCATACTCTCAATATTTGAAATTAACAGCATATACTCAATTTTTCGCTGCTAATCTCTGAGCAAGTAGATACCAATACTAATAATATCATACAGTTGTTTGGTTTATTCAGATGTATTGCCCATTGTGCATGTGAAGTGTTCTACTTTTATGCTAATATGTTTTTTACATAGAGAACTAGACTACAGACCGTTGGAAAAGTAGAGTTATACGTTAACTTAACCTGCAAGATATAATATATATATATATATATATATCTTTAGTGATTTGCTTAAAGATCATGTTTTCATTATTTGAATGTTGCATCTTACTAAGTGAGCCATGATGAGTTACCAGTAGTGGATGGATGATGTTGTGATCTATATGATGTGATTTTTGAACTTTGGACAAATATTTTCAGGATCGTGATACGAACAATGTTTAGTCCCGGTATCAAAGTTGCATAGAACACAAATTATCTTTGGGATATAGTTCAGACCTAATGTCCAACATAGATAGCACAGATTCGGCAACAGTGTAAGAATACCACGTAAGTAAAACTATTGATTCACATATTATACCCGAAGATTTATATCATTCTGACTATTGAATATAAATGAAGGGAATTAATGGCATTACAAAGAAGAAAAGTTAGATTTATGTAAAAAAATCATTGCAGTGTTATTTTAAGGCTGCATGCAGTACCGTCTAGCTTTCAACACAGTAATTATGCTAGGATAAATAATTACAATGCTACTTCACCTACCAAATAATAGGTAAATTTTAAAAGTATTCGTAGAGTTTTGAGTTACGAGTCAAGTTATTAACTAGTTTTGACAGTGTTTCAATATAACATGATTGCCTTAATTTTTCGTAAAAAAGCGAGTTTGGAACTTTATTTGCTAAAAACTCACAAATCTGTTGATTTTTTATACATTTTGTTTATATACAGTGTCTGAAACTACCATGGTTCTCTATCTCTGCAACTGTCTTCGCAAAAACGTTATTACCCTGGTCTATATCAATAATTTGTGATGGCGTATTTAAAGCAGATAAGTCTGTGGATTGCGCATAATTTTTACATACTGTTCAGATATCAGTCTTACTGCTAATCCTTTATATGAAAATGGAAAAGAGCCAAAAAAGTTTTGTCTGTTTCAAAAAGAATATAGAACTGCCTTGCGTCCATTCTTTCAGTCGTTACTATTCGTCTGGCATACATACACAAAACTACTACAAACAGAGCAAGAATAGTAAAACAGATCAAGTCACATACACAAAAGCAGCACCTTTAAACGGAAACATACGACCATATGTTAATTTTGATAAAATCCAAAAACTAAAAGGAGATGGGTGAACCAAACAACTTCTCCAGGGTTAGTAAGTAATATACTGTAGGTGATAAAAAGGGGATATAAAAATTGATCTGTCGAGAATCCTTTGTATTTTTAGAGATTTTTAGACTGCACTGACTTTAGGAATGTGATTTTCTCTCAATTGTCTAATCATTTGTGTGTCTATACTCAGTTTTTTCGTCTTAAAGCATGTTTTCGCGAAAATCAATGAATAAACATTACAAAGCTTAGCGAATAGAGGTAGGAGAATTTCAAAGTGGCTATTGTGGGAAAATGCTTAGATGACAGCCTTCCTGAGACCAAGGAAGTAAAAATGTATAGACAAATTTTACAACAGAAATATATTCTTGCTGGTAAATAAAAATGACCTTGCATCTAGAGATTTGAACCCTCTATTAACCGCCAAATTTGATAAAAATAATGTTTTTCCATATATTCAAAAAACTATCAAATATTGATAACACCGGGTTTAAATGAAAGTTGCAGAGCTTGTAAATACCTTCAAAATGCCCAGTATGCTGTAGCGGTTGATTTTTTACTCAGAAAAAGCGAATTCCCAAACTGATTTTTTACTAAAAAGTTCATAATAACAAACATGGAATAATAGTCAGAACTGATTTTTTTATGTTAATAGTCATTTTTTCGAGTTGTCTTGCGACGAAACTGCTGTAGCATATTTGACATGTGAGGTCTTGTCATCCTCTACAATTCCTCTGGAGACCATTTTACCCATACATCTTAATTTTTTTGAACATACGCGAGAAACTGATTTTTCTAACTAAGTTAGCTTACTTTTTTATCTCTGAGTGGAAGGCTGTTTCATTTATACCGAAGAATACCACTTCGTTGTAAATTTTGTCAAAATTTTTTATATAAAAGTTTTTGGGTGGCTAGCTTGACCGCCTGACCTATATAGCAAAATACCCAAGTATATTTTGAGAAACAATATTCCGACTTAGATATCAGAGTATACTATTTTTTTTTATCTTGGTAAATGTTTCATGGAAATGGAATATCAAATACTTAAACTTCATGTTTCTATATTTTTGGGACTACTGATGAGGGACACAATACTGAATATCTTATATGGATTAAAATCCGGTTTTGACTTTTTGCAATAAATTAATAGTGTGGTGTGTTAGTTAATTTAACTTAGTTTTTTCGTCATGTTCAACAATGATAATAATAAATCTAAAATAAGCATGAATTTGGTGGTATCTTTTATTTTCGTTTCAAAGCTACGGACAGAAAAATCATATCTAACAATTAACCAAACAAATTGCTAACTTGCATAAAATTTCACTAATTATTTCTCATTTCAAATATAGGTATCATTATAAATAACTATATTATCCTTATTATGATAACACTGTATATTATTGGTCATTTTGAAAAGATGTCAGTATCAATGTAAAGGAGATAGCGATAGCAAGAGGTTAGAAAGACAGTGGTATAATTAATGTTTCGTTTGTATGTGAAGCGTGTAAATTACATTCCTAAAATTGTGCTTTTGGTCGCATATTTCTTTAAAGGGTTCTTGACATTCAAATTTTTATGTCCCTTACCGCTTCAAATTGCCACTGAAGTGATATTGGTTGGTCCGGTTCTTCTGACTGCAAAAAATTCCCGAAATTGTTAACGTAATCTTGTGTCATTATTAAATACGGTAAAAATGAGTATATAGATGCAAGTGCAACCAAATAAAAAGTGGGTGCAAATAACAGTGCTTCTTCCTAACACGACTATCGTAAAATCAAAACAAAACTGAAACATAAAAAATAATAAAACATGATTGTGCGTGTATTATGATGTTTTCAAACAATAACAACGTATAAGTATCCAGCACAGTTTATATAGACTTTTGTCAGACAGAAAACAAAATGACATTTTTTTGTGATACTACATATTTCATAATAAAACATAATGACTTTCCAAATACGGTACCACATACATTGCCATTGTTCGAAAATATAATTAAAAATAAGGTGAACATTTGAAGGTAGGTCATGTATTTGACATTGGGACAAATATTGCTCAGATGTTACGGCGCTTGATGTTAAGCGTGAAAACTGTACAACAGTTCAGATGCATACGAGTGAAATGATGTGCTTTTTATAAACAAAGCATACATTTTATAATAAAGTACGAGGTTTGGATGCAATCAAATTATCGCACTCAAAAAAGAAATAATAATAGAAATGTGGTTGTATTTAATATCTTACACGCAATACAATGATGAAGAGTGTACAGTGACTGTTCATTACTTCAATCCTCAATGAATATCTCACAGTTTCATTTATTCTCGCTTCATCAAATTCGTCATTATGCTAAATTCGACTTAAATAGATGTTCTTTTAAAGTACTACTATTCTATAATAATTGAAGAATCTAAGACATAAGGATGGAAAGGACATATCGAATATTTACAAGCAAAAAAAGAGTGAATATTTGTATAGAACTGTGTATAAATAGCACTTTACGCAATACTCATGTAATAAAACTTTTTCATTGAAAATGCAACTCTTATTTTTCAAAACAAAACGTCGAAATTACTTGGTTTCGTATTCTCAAGCTCTTCTCGCCCTATATTTTTATTGTCTCAAGAAAATAAATAACATAAACAAAGTTTTTTGATATTTCGAAATACTACCTTTTTCTATCATAATTTCGCCTCAGCACATAATGTTCTTGGTACGGTAGCGACCTTGATTCAAATTTTCAAATTCCTGAAGCACTTTAAAATATTTTTTTAAAACTGTTTTGATCATATTTATCGCGAGCGGCAAAGAGAAGAGTCAGCGGTGACGATTAAAAAAACGGGGTAAAATATTTACATGGCAATACTGATTGTCAAAACTCCCTGTATTTTAGAGTAAATAAATATTATATATATATATATATATATATATATACGAGCATTTGTTACCGTACCCTGTTTTGGACATCAAATTTAAGTTGCTCTCATTACTATTCTTGATAGTAAATATTAATAAAAAGGTTGAATAATTTGATAAATTCTGTTAGGGAGGGACATATATAATAGTGGAATCTGGAAATAGGTTTTGGAGGATATACGACATGACCTCACCTGGTCATTGGCCTTTAGCGGGGATGCTCCCTGTGCCTGGCGTTGTTGCTGTTGAACCAGGTCGCGTTTCTTGCGAGGAAACATTTCCCTCTATAGACACGCACAACATGCTCAATAATACCAAAACCAAACGGAAAAGGAACATAACCAAGCCAAAAACTTAAAACAAATCAAATTAGTGTGCGTTAAAAACGATTTGGAACATATTTTGTATCTACATATTCAGCTAAAACGTATATTTTAAGCAAATTTTTAACCCTGAATACTCAACTCTTCCATGGGGTTCATCGGAAAATCATAATTTGAAAGCAATATTTATGTATGTTATATAACATGATGCGTTGCGTTTCATGATATATACATATATATATATATATACAGGGTTATCCAAATTAAGTGTCCACCATTAGTAACTTTGTTATTAGTGAAAATACAAAGTTGTTTGAATTAGCAAAACTAGTAGCATTTTTAACGCTGGTAAAAATGAGAAATAAAAAAAAACAATTGAGAGTCGTTATTTTGATTTTTTTCAGTAAAATAACATTTTTTTAAATGGAAACCCCTGTATATTATATTTTTTTCTGTTAAAGCATCAAATTTTAAACAAAAAAGTTCATAATGACTTTTCCGCTAAAGTCAAAAATAAAGTCAAAATAACGATAAATATTTTTAATTATTTGCAGTATTATAATATTAAGACGGCTATGAAAACAACATGGCGTTCGCGATTTGACAGCATTAAGATAAGCGACAAATTGTTAAACTGGACATACTCGCAACTAGAAGGCTTTGGAAAACAATGATAAAATCAAATAATGTCAAACATTAGAGTAAATACTTGTTTATAAGCTTTATTGTGTCATTAATTTAAAGAAAAATGTTCTCCCATGAAGAAAAGTGTGATATGTTAGAATGCTATTTAGTGTGCAGAAAATCCTCCTTGAGAGCAAGAGAATAGTGAATTATATCCCGCTCGCATTCAACCGTATGAACGATATTTTCTGAGACTTTATCGAAAATTTAGGGGCAACGAAAATGTTTTTGCTGAAACAAGGGCAAAAAAAGAATTCATAATAAGCGAGGCCACGGAAATTGCAGTTATTGGATATTTTGAAGCTTATCGTGAGAATTCAATAGCAGATATTCTCAAGGACTCTAATTTCAGTTATGGTACTGTTCAAAGGATTTTAAAAAAATACAAATTTATTCCGTATAAGTTCCGACCAGTTCAAACGCTTTTGGCAGGGGATCCAGAGAGAAGACTTGTTTTTTGCCATTGGTATCTTAGCTTCTGTCGCCAAAATGTAAATAACTTTCGTTACCTTTTATGCAGATGAATCAAATTTTTCAAATTCTGGAATGTTTAATAGAAAAAACCACCATTATTGGTCAAGAGAAAATCTTTTGTTAGTACATCCAAGAGGCCCACAAGTCCGTTTCAGTTTCAACGTTTGGTGCGGTATAATTGGTTCAAAAATTGTTGGCCCGTTCTTTTATGAGGGAACCCTAACTGGTGAAAGATATGTGGAATTTAAGTCAGAAATTCTGACTAATTTCTTAGACGAATTGGATCTTATAAGTAGACATCTTCTGCATTTTCAGCAAGATGGCGCACCTGCCCACAACTCCAGAGGTACCTATCATTTTCTAAGTACTACTTTTAATGATCAGTGGATAGGAACAAATGGCCCAATACAGTGGCCTCCCAGATCACCAGATCTAAACCCTCTTGATTACTTCTTGTGGGGTTACTTAAAGAACCAAATTTACAAGCGAAGGTACGATAACCTTGACGCGTTAAAGACTGCAGTTAGGGAAAAGATAACCCAGATAGATGGTAGGACCATACTTAAGACAGTTCGAGCAGTTGAAAAACGTGCCCAAAAATATATTGAAGAACAAGGTGGTGTTTTCGAGCATCTTCTTTAAAAAAAATTGTTATTGTATTTTGTAAGATTATAAGTTGATGTTGAAAATAAAGTTTGTCGATACAATTTAATTGTTTCAGATTGGAGGCCATAACTTCAACAATTTGTAACCTAGGAGAAAAGTTATTGTGAGCTTTTTTGTTTAAAATTTGATGCTTTAACAGAAAAAAATATAATATACAGGGGTTTCCATTTAAAAAAATGTTATTTTACTGAAAAAAATCAAAATAACGACTCTCAATTGTTTTTTTTTATTTCTCATTTTTACCAGCGTTAAAAATGCTACTAGTTTGCTAATTCAAACAACTTTGTATTTTCACTAATAACAAAGTTACTAATGGTGGACACTTAATTTGGATAACCCTGTATATTAGGGTGGAGCGAAAAATTTGTTTTCGTTATATGGCAATCTAATAGCAAAAATATGGTGCGTTTTAGGATCAAATTGAACCATATAAAATATTTTTTGATTTCGTTTACGGTAACTGCCTCCGCAATGTCATTGAAATTCAATTCAAGTCGAAGGAGAATCAGAGATTTGGCAATACTGTGCCACGACCTCAGTGCGCCTGCGCTTTTGTTTTCGCTCGCAACGATCACGTGCCGGCCATATTTAATTATTGTTATTCTTTTAAAACATGCCGAGAACTCGGAGTGTGTTTGAATGTCCTGTTTTGGGTGTTATTTGTGAGTTAAAATACAATGTTCTACCTACTTACGACGATGTTATCAAGTTATATGAATGGACAAGACATCAACGAAAATTGAGGTTAGAAACTGCCAAAGAGCCAGTTTTTGCGGAAATAGCAGATATAGTGACATCCACGATTGAAAATATATGGCAAACTGCATCTATTCCTACAGTAACACGAACAAGAATCATACAAATGTTGAAAGCCTATCATTTAAAATACAAAAATCTACTTAAATCTGTGCAAAGAGTATCTGAAGATAAATTAGAGAGATTTCGGCATAGTGGTAGGTTACTTTTTGATATTTCGGCATGCAAATGCAAAGAATTTATTAAGTGCACCTGCCCAAAGGATAAAAAGGTTCCTAAACAAGAACAAGCCTTCCTAATTGATCAAAGAACCTGTCGACATATGATAATCGGTGGAATCGATCCAATCATCACTAAGAAGTTGCAAAGCACTTTAAAACGGAAACATGAACGAGAGAACCGCCAAAATGTATCTTCGAATACGAGTACATCATCGTTGGCTGTTTTAAATGTTAGTACTTCTTCGGAAACGTCATCAATGTCAGATAGAAGCGAATTCGAAGAAGTTACTCAAAAGAAAAGGAAAAAATCCTCACGCATCGATTTTCCGACGCTCTCGAAGACATGTGACAGGTACGGAGTGTCAGATAGGGCTGCAGCCGCGATTGCATCATCTGTCTTGTTCGACATTGATTCTGATATTGGCGTCATTGACAGGCATAAATTACGTAGACAGAGAACCAAAACAAGAAATAAGTTATTGAATGAGGTGAAAATTTCGGAACTTAATGCTTTATACTTTGACGGGAGGAAAGACAAAACGTTAAAGATCGTTAAAAAGAATGGCAAATGCTACAGGACTTTGACTGTCGAGGAACATATCTCACTAATTCAAGAGCCTGGATCAATTTATCTTGGATACGTGGTGCCTAATGTTGGGACAGCAAAAGGAATAGAAATCTCCATAGCAGAGTTTCTAACACGTGAACAAATACTTCTTCATGAACTTATTGCAATCGGTTGCGATGGCACAAATGTTAATACTGGAAAGAATGGAGGTATAATAAGACTGTTCGAGAGAAAACTACAAAAACCACTCCAGTGGATAGTGTGTTTGCTGCACATGAATGAACTGCCTTTGAGACACTTGTTTCTTCATCTTGATGGGTGTACTTCGGGACCTAAGTCTTTCTCTGGACCTTTAGGAAAAGCACTAGAGACCTGTGAACAACTACCTATTAGAAAATTTCAACCTATTGAAGGAGAAATGCTTCCAGAAATGGCCAAAGATTTGAGTACAGATCAACAGTACTTACATAATATTGTCACAGCGGTTCTTACAGGTATTTTTCCAGAGGATCTGTCAAATAAATCTCCCGGCAAACTTTCACATGCCCGTTGGCTCACACGTGCCAATAGAATATTGCGTTTGTATGTAGCAACCGAAACACCATCAGAGAAACTGCTAACTCTGGCAAAATTTGTTGTTAAAGTTTACGCACCATCTTGGTTCCTTATTAAAAACAAACCCTTCTGCAAGGATGGAACGCGACATCTTTTCTTTATAATTTCTGCCTCCAGATACCTGTCAGAAGATCTTAAAAAGATAATCGATCCTGTCATTCAACGGAATAGCTACTTTGCACATCCGGAGAACACGCTTCTTGCAATGTTAACTGATGCCAAGAAACATATTCGAGAACTGGCAGCCAGGCGTGTATTGAAAGCACGTAGCACGCAGCAAACATCAACAATTAGATTATTTGAGTTGCCTTGCATTAATTTTAATGCTTCTACATACGTTGATTTAATAAATTGGCAGGAAAAAATAACGGAACCCCCTATTTTAAAAATCTTTTCTGACCAAGAAATTTGGCGCGTCGTCGAAACTGGGGATGAGAATCAATTGACCTTTTTGAAGCTTCCGTGTCACACACAAGCTGTAGAACGAGCTGTAAAAGTGACGACAGAGGCAGCCACGTCCCAATGTACGGAAAAGGCACGATTGGGTGCAATAAAAGCCAAACTGGAATCTCGGAATATAATGCCTAAATTTGAGACAAAAAGAAATTTTAAAGGAAAGTAATATATAAATATGTATATATTTTCTTACTATTGTTCTTAAAATGTTACCGTATTTTTAATTGTAGTTCTTCAATAAATATCTTAGATTAATTTTGCAAGTGATTCATCACCCATATATCATTAAACTAAGCTCAATAGTTGGTAAAATGTGTACTAATATTTTTTAGTTAAAATTTAGATTTTGTGGGGTCAGTGCGGAGGCAGAAGATGTTGGAAAAATTAATTGAGAAATTACATATATTTTTACTATAATATACTGCACCAATTGCTCCCTATTACAATTCAATATTTGGAAAAAAAAATTAATCCATACATAAACGCTCCACCCTACTGTATATATATATAACTTGAGACATGG